CAGTTCGTACATATTTGCTTAGCCAAACATCTAATATCGAATGATCCATATGTATTTATGTCTACTTTTAGAGACCACATATGAATTTTTTATGAACACATAGGTATATACATATACACCATAGAATTATGTGAAACTGTTTATTATAATATATTTTATAATAAAATAGCTTTCCGCCTGCGTTCACAAAGGTATAAAAAGAGTGATCACAGTTTCAAAATTCAATTAGCCATTACTCGGTCGCTGGGTATACTAGTCCGTGAATATCGCCAACAAAAGTAGTACAACTGAGGGTTTCCACTTCACAAGTACTTAGTATATATTCAACGGGGTTTTCACCTACTCGAAAGAAAGCTCGTGGAGGCAGTTCCACCTCCGCAACCTCTACGACAGCAGTAGAGTATATTCGGAATAGGGATTCCACCTCACCGAACGGAAGACCAGTGGAGGGTGTTTCACCTCAGCGATCTTTACAAACATAAAATGGAAGGTAGAATCTAGTTGAACTAATCGAAAATAAAACTTTGTTGTAACAAGAAGGAGAGCGACTTGTTATTTTGGCCACCTTGGGAACACTGAGCTTAACCCAGGCAAGGAACATCGTTACAATTTCTTAGCGACTTTTTTATAATTGACTAGCAGCAGAATGCTGCCTTCGCGATTTCTGAGATCGGTTGTATTTCATTGCTAACAAAGTGAATCGATCTTCAAAAGCACAGGAGTATTGTGAGAGAGGATTACTTTTGTCACTTGATTCAAACATAACAAATTTTGGGTTCATTTATTTAGTTAAATTTTCTTTGCACTCCAGAGAGCTTAGAAAACATATCGATACTTTTGTTGAAGGTGGATTTTATTTTGAAGTTTTTAGCTAGCAGGGCAAACCGATTAAACACAATAATTGGAGGCGTGTAGTAAATTTAGCGAACTTGTTTTTCCACCAAATAAATGGCGGCCGCGGTAGCCGAGTGGTTTGCATTGCGTGCTACTACTTGGAAAGCTTGGGTTCATATCATATTAAAAATTCATTTAAATAATAAATTAAGTAAAATTTTCAAATTGTGGCTGCCCCTCGGCAGTGAATGCCAACCCCTCCTAGTGTATTTTTGACATGAAATGAAGGCTCCTCATAAAAGCCATCAGCCATTCGGAGGCGGCTTAGAATAACCTGTAGGCCTCTAATGATGTTGGAAAAGCATCATGACACAAAACCGCAAATTGGAGGAGGAGCTCGGCCGAAAATCGCGATTCGAATCCGATTACAAAGTGCCAATTATAAGTATATATACATATGTACTAGAAATCGGATAGAAGAAAAATCGGAAGTATTGGGTGTATGCATTCATTCGTGCGGTTTTTTTTTTCGAAAATCAAGATTTTGTTGTGAAAAAATTGTTATACCTTTAATGTTCAAAGTATTGTCCATCGAAAGCTACGATGTTTGCCCATCTTTCTGGCAGTTTGTGGATCCCATCCCAAAAGAACTTCTCCGGCTTGGAGATCAAGAAAGAATCAGTCAATTTCTGACACCCTGTTCTGAAGTGAAACGTACTCCGGTGAGGGCATTCTGCATTGATCTGAACAAGTGGTAATCGAAAGGTGCTATGTCTGGACTATTAGGCGGTGAGGTAGAACTTCCCACCCACAGTTTTCCAAATAGTTTTTAACTATCCTTGTAACATGAGGCCAAGCGTTGTCATGATGAAAAATTATTGATTCGTGTCTGGTCGCATATTCTGGTCGTTTTTCCGCGACAAACTTTTTCAAACGAATCAATTGTTGCTTGATCAACTCCTAATACTTTTGCAAGTTCTTTTTGCGTCTGAAATGCATCTGCGTCGTGCAATGTCTCCAATTCTTCGTCTTGAAATTTTTTTGGCTGTTCGTCACCTAAATCGAAATTACCACTTTTAAACTGTGCCAACCACTTTTGGCACGTTCGTTCGGCTAAAGCATGGTCACCATAAACGACCAGTAAAATACGATGGCTTTCGGTAGCACTTTTCTTCATGTTAAAGTAATTAAGAAGAACTCCCAGCAAAAACACCTTATCTGGTACAAATTTCGACAATTTCAAATGAATGAAACAAATTGTTGTTCACGTTAAAACAAATGGCATCTACTGAAAACGACGCGAAATGGCAGTACCTTTGAAACACAGATGAACACAACGCGAGATAATACTAGTAGAGCCCTCTCATAAAAAACCGCATACACCATAAACCATACACACTAATATTCCAATATAATAACACCATATGTTTTCACACTATGAGCACGAGTACTGAGAACGATAGATCGGATTGGCACAAGTGACAGTCGAAGACTGCGTACCATGATACAATAATTTAAAGGTAGTTTCCCTCTCTCTACTCAGTCGGCTTCATTGCTATCTGACATTAAACGTGTTTCGGATTTTTCATGCTACCCTCTTCTCTTAAAAAAAGTCTATCATTTTTAAACAAAATATGCGAGAAAAGTTTTCATATTTTTTTAAGTGATGAAATATTCAAAAATTACGTATTTTCCAAGTCCTGAATTGGACTTCATCGAGTGTACGCCTTTTATGATTTTTGCAATACAACTTTAGCAAATTGTAGGAAAAACGATTCGCCCACAAAAATTGAAATCGAATTCAATAAAATGAAGAGTTGGCTGCATTTGCTATAAATATTAACGTTTGAATGCAAATTAGGCCCACAGTTTTAGAGATGTTTTAAGGAAATTTTGTAAGCAAACAGGGTATTGTTTTAATAATTGTAGATTTTTTAGAGCAGTACAAATTGGTTGTAAAAATCTTATAATTACGCTTGTAGTCGATTAAACTTCTAAACACTTTTGAATTCAAACTAACCGCCAAATATATCGATATTAGTCAGCTTGTTAGATCTCCCTGATCTCTTGATGATACCTATGTTGGTTCTACGAAGAAGGCTCCTCTCACCTTTCGAGATGCTCAAACGAAGCTTAGGAGGTTAGTGATGCTTAGACATGCAAGCTATGCTAAGTAATCGAAGAAGAAATGACCGCAGAGCTTACCGTAGTTATTACTAGCCCTATCCGGTCGGCTCATCTACTCCACAGTTCCCGGGGTGTTCTTATGATCAGAGACCCAAGCATATAGCTGAGAACATTAAAAATCTAAGATTCGAAAAAAATGAAATGGCAATTTTTCCCATATTATTATCCTATCTAACGAATCCTTTTCTTACTTTAGCTGCCTATGAAAAAGGGTTTGAAACAAATATTTTAATAGATCCATACGTGTTTTCAATATTATAGCATCTGCGTAGAAAATAACCCCAAAGTGAAGATACCTTATAGATATTTTGTATCATGCTGGGTACCGTAATAAAATTGTTTCGAATAGATCGTCAACTCACGTTCCAAGTTTAATGCAAATCGAACCATAAATGCGTTTAATTTTCTAAAAAATCGGCTCATGGTACACTCTAAGCAAAAAGACGATTTTAAATTTTTATTCTAGGTATACTGCCTTTGAGTGCATGGAAGTTTTGGTTAAGTTCTACGTTTGCATAAATGTTTTGTCAACTTTAAATCTCCAAATATTGCATTAGATCGGATCCAAAGAAAGTGAACGGTATGAAATGTAGCGTATGTCGGTATCTCGCCGGCTGATATTACATTTTTCGGTAATTCGAATAACATCTATGGGTCCCGCATAGCTCAGCTCTTGCTAATTCGCCTGCCATTCCAGCAAATAAACAAAGTATGAGAGAGCTTGAACAGAAAAATTCTTTAAAAACAGCGACCGTTTGCATGCGTATTTTTCGTGGAACGACATTTTTAGAAATTGCTGGCACATAACTCATAACAAAACGAGTAATTGACCTATCGACTTTAAATTGAAAATGAGTATACATATGTGTATTTGCATATATTTATTATACAATAACTTATGATTTTATTTTTTTAGTTGAAAGTTGTTCAATTGATATTAGAAAAATTCACATTTCTTACCCTAAAAAATCTACAATTTTTTCATAACAACAGAAATTTTTTACTGATTCAGACGAATTTTTTTTGCGCCCCCGAACGCAGCACATAACTAATTTATTTTTCAATATTTTTGTGAAAAAAAAAATCCTAGAATGTAGCTGAAAATATATCTCTATATGTCTAAAAACACACTGTCACACTGGCATAGTCTCTTAAGTATTTATTATCAAATAATCTTGGCAAATCATACAAAAACCCATAATGTATTTCTCTGTACTTATCGCTGCGAATATGGCATATTCGTTATTGTCGAACCGTGGAAGAAAGAAGAATTAAACAATTTGCCTGAGAGGCGAAGAGCTGAAAGTTCCCTGAATTGTATATTTCAATCAAACACAAGGTAAGGGCAGGTGCTGAGCAACGCGGTCTCAAGCTCGCAACAGATGAACCCGAATTGCTGCTTTAACAATGAAACATAACCTCTGGAAACACATCTGCACACAACAAAGCTGATATGTAGTTTTACTATATATTTTGCGATGTAACTAATTGGTCGAAATGTGAGGCCCACACACATAATAAACATAATTTGATTAATATTTATGTGGTTATACTTGTATTAGTATAAGTTTAGGTACAAAATGAAATGAAACGCGTAGGAGGCATTCGAAGTAAACAAATGTTTTTGCTTTTATTTAAACTTTACGGTCGTTTAACTCAAAACATATTACCTAATAAATAAGAAGTTTTAAGTTTTTAATTAATTGCACGTTTAGTCTGTAGGAATTGTAAGTCATTGACATAGTAAATTGAAATTGAATATAGGTAACTATTTTACAACTTTCAAGCAGTTCGCCAACTTTCCAAAAATCAATATATCTTTTAGGTTATTTCAAACGACTGCTGGATTCAGTAGATTCAGAGCTCATCTCGCAAAAATATTGTTATATTACATTATTCCTACAAGCTTTGATCTATTTATATATGTCATACAGAGTGCAATCAGTTATACTAATAAATTTAAATTTCTCTACTTGTAGAAGATCACGTTAGAGGTCTATCTACATTCACGATCATGGCAGGATTAGGCGGCTTTATGGGATATTCAATGGGAGGCATCGACTGGGATACAACAGCGATTGGTATTTTTGCGATATTTATATCGGCAATTATTATTTCTATGTGTGTATTTCTTCTAATTGAATTTCCTTAGGTAAAAAACTAGGGGGTCATATAAAAACGGTTTTTACTTTGGTTACCTTCATATTCACTTTGTGCGTAACTTTGACAATTACCAGCTTCAAAGAAATTCCTTTGTGGATACTGGCAGAAACACAGCATAATAAAAATAAAGGCGAAGCTTTAATTGATGCACATATGGGAACAGCAAATGACTTCGAACAGATGACGGATGACAATGAAAAGGTAAGTATACGTCAAGTTTAATTAAAATATTATATTGACTGAATCGGTTTTTACAAGGGCTCACAAATGTTGAGAGTTTTTCATTGTTTTTTCGTGTCGATAACGCTATTGGTAACAATTAATTTTTTGAAAAATTTTTCCCCACAATATTTTATTGCACCTTTCTTTTTTAAATTAGCTTTTTGGTATATACAATTTAATTTAATAGTCCATTTCCAAACTTTATCTTATTTGAGTAACATCGAGGAACACCGCAGTACAATATTACTTACTAGGAGCAAACAATTTGCCTTAATCACAAATAACAGTTTGTAAATAAAAAATGTTGCTACAAAATTACGAAATATGTGAGTTCAATTTTAATATTCCTTGGAACTTTGGGAACTCTCAGACGACAATCTATACCCTAATAATAGAGAACCCCAAAGTATTAACTTGAAAATTGAACAGTCAGATTCCAAGACCAAGCCTTCAGAGAATTCAAATCGTGTGTAAATTGTGCAACTCATCCAACTCCATGATGTAATGCAAAAAATTCAAGGAGTTTTCAATATCCGAACGGATTAACCTATTACACAAGCTGTTTGGCATAATCTCACTCAAAGAGAAATGGAGAAATTGATAAAACCCCAAAGTCAAGCGACACAAACCAGAAAAATACTAATCCTCTAAGAATGCTCAAAACTCAACTCACTCATACGGTCAAAACGCACTTTTCAATTACCAGTGAAACTGTGCTGGAATAGATAAGGGGTTTTAAAAAAAACAATAGGTCCTTGATTTACCAACATCGAATACCCACTACGAAGCTTTCTGAATCAGCAGAATATCAGTAAGAAACTCGAATAGAATATGCGCATTAAAACACGATCTCAATAAAAGAAATTGCAATCTCCACGATAATACTCCCACAAAAGCAGAACCATCATCAATGCGTGTTGATCACAAAAAATATAACTCACTTCTCACAAACAGAAGAAAGACATCCACACTCCAGGCAGTGGAAGCTGTATAAGAAGATACAGAAACTCCGACCCGGTAGGATTCTCATCAAAGTGAAATCAAATTCAATAACTCAACAGCGCCAGATCGAAGAAATACTTTCAGCACATAAGCCACTCCACAGCAATGTTTATTCATCAGGATGGACATCCTACGTCCTTATTTACTCAAAACACTCAAAGTGGCCAACCCTCTGCACCCGACGAAGGATTAAAATCTCTAAATCACATTTCTTCTCGCACTGTATCTCCCCCTGCCATTATTTCATCTAGATCAAAACATCCTCACTACTTCTCATGTTAATAATCTAATTCTCTTTACGAACCTTAAGATCGCACAATCGTTTTTCCATAACACGGCTTAATGCTCTCGAAATTAGCCCTACAAAGCAATATCCAATTACGCTCTAAGCAGGCGTGACGTCACGGCGACAGCATGCTGAAACTAAAAACATCCCAAAATTTAATGTAATAGTGGAACCAAAAAATAATAATTTTTCCATGAAAAAATATGTATACATTAGAGCTCTAAATACCCACTCATAGCTCAACTGCTCGAAAGAATGTTTGAAATTTTACATTTTTCAAATTTGTTTGTCAAAGTTTCTTTGGTATTTCAATGAATTTTATACAAGGCAAGTTAGTAAAGGTGAGTTTTTGTTTTCAGTGTAACAATTGTCTAATTCATGACAAATTCATATAATCCGCTTATATCAGATTAAGTTAATAATTGAAAACAAATTTGAAAAAAGAAGTAAACAACAAGAATTAAAATTATGTCGTAGCTTAATAATCAAAGTTTGCTAATTCAAATGACATTAACAGTAAAATAGGTCAATTTCATGGGATATTAGGGAATTCTTGAAAAACATGTATTCGGAAGGGAATTTTGTAAGCAATGGCAAAGAACGTATATAAATATACTTCGGCAATGGATATAAGACTCAGTTACATTACACGAAATGTACAAAGGAGAAAGTTCTATAATTGTTATGGTCATAAGAGATTACTATCACTCTTTTAAGTTCTTGTAACGCGGTGCAGACTGACATTGGAAGAATATGTTAATTTAACAATAGAATAAACGTAATATTATTTTTTAAAAATGTTGTATGGATACGAAACTCCTTTTTTAAATTTCTTTGGTAAGCACGAACACATATAGTTGTAGTTTCTTCAAACTTGGAATCAAACTTTCTTTCCCAATGGATTACTTCGAGGAGAATCCAAAACAGGAGTGAATTGGTGAAAATAAATGCTGTCGATCAAGAAGCCATATGCATCTTAGCAAGAATATCAGTTACGATATCATCAAAAGCGGTTATAAAATGTAGAAGCAAAAAACTTTAGACGAAATGCAACGCTTCCATAGTTTCTGTTCCCGGACACTCCATACAATTGCGTTGCAGACGAATTAGTGAGAGAAGGAGGCCTTCTATCCAAAATAAAGCTTTCAAGATTCAGGTTTACCTTTGTAATGGCATAGAATATGCTAAGACAAGGGCAACTTTGTCAAAAACAAACACTAGATGGCAGAATGAGATCACGTGAAACGAGACCATACTATGGCTTAATGGAAGAATAGGCTTTCAATATAATAATTTTTGCCACAGAAGAAGATTCTATAGAACACTAGCACTTCTTTGCTTGTCACGCTGAGCTAGCTTCAGCGATCCCGTTGCTTTTGTGTACATGCACACGAAATGGTTCGAACATTTGAGAAAGTGAAGATAAAAGCCTCATAATAGCGGTATCAAAATGGACATATTGCCTTTAGTGCGTTGGTCACTGATTAATAGTCGCATCAAGTCCATTCAAATCAAAATCAGAACACATTCTTATTTGAAAATGTTCAGCTATACAACTAGAAATTCAAAATAAATATAACAAAAAATAAAAATGTAAACAAACATACAACAACCTTAACACTGTAGCGAATTCGCTGCCCTAGTAACTCAATCTTGCTAAATTCGCCTTGGTTTGACATAAATAAATTTAAAACGCAAAATTTTTTTTTTTTCAATGAATAAGTGTGCGAGTCCTCATTTCCCAAATGTTCGAGCTTCTCAAAATCAAGACAAATACAAAAACTAATGGCCTATGTATTTCGTTTGTGTAATCGTACAATAGTTTAAAAAACTCAAAATCGAAATTCGTTCACTGTATTTTTTTAGTGTAATAGAAAGTTCGTAATGTCAAAACCTATTTCTCATGTATTTTGTAATGTAATTTGTTGAAATGGAAGGAGAAACGAGCAATCATATGATGTGACAAATTTTCAAACACAATCTTGAGATTTAGTATGTACACATATAAATTATTTATTTAGGACACAGTTAAAATTTTTTTGTTTTGTATTTCAGTAGCCGAGTCGAAAAAAAGGTCTACATACCACAGTTATCATCGAAAGTAAAGCAGTAGGGAACTGCATTTTTTTTTAGAACCGATACACAAAGAGAATATACACATATCACGAAGATCGCGTAGGATTAAACTAAACAAACAAGCGTTACATGTATAAACTGGAAGTTGTTCATGCCTGGTCTGGTTATATCCCTACTAAAAGCACAGAAAGTAATTGATCGACCGAAAAAACAGTCGGTCATAACATTTATTGATATCCAAGGGCATGCCAATAGAAAATGGTCGGGTAGAAATGATAATATTCTTCTTTTTTACTGACGTAGACACCGCTTACGCGGTTATAGCGGAATTTATAACATTAAGTCATTCATTTCTTTTAACTTGTAGAGTTTGGTTTCCGTTCGTCGAGAGAGGACTTTACTTTCCAATTTCCCAATCAGTCCAAAGTAGCACATGTTGGCAAGAGTGATTCTGCGTTGAATTTCAAGGGTGACAATGTTGTTGATGTTAATTCTGGACCCTAGATAGACGAAATTATCTACAACTTAAAAGCTATCACTGTCAACAGTGATGTGGGAGTCGAGTCGAGTATGCGATGACTGTTTCTTTCACGGCGCGGTGGTTATCGCAAATAATGTCAATATCATCGGCATACGCCAGCAGCTGTATTCTCTTATGGAAGACAACACCTTTTCTAAAGATTCTCCCTCTCTGAAACCTCGTATTCCACCGAATGGCTCGGAGAGGTCCTCCCGATCCTAACGAGCCTTTTGGTGTTACTAAACGTCAGTTTACATAGCAGTCAAATTTTTGCGATAATACCAATTCATACAAAGAAACAGCTCCTGTTCGTGTCGTCGAAGACTGCTTTAGAATCGACGAAGTGATGGTGTGAGCAATTCTCTTCTCACGGTCTTTCACACAATACGCTCAAAAGAATTTTACATGTGTTATTAAGGAGGCTTATTAAAGTGTAGTTGGCGCAGACTGTAGGGTCACATTTTTTATGGATTGGGCAGAGCACAGTTAAATTCCAATCATGGGGAATGTTTTCGCCCGACCATATCCTGCAAAGTAGCTGATGCATGTATCTTGTCAGCTTTTCACCGCCATGTTTTAATAGCTCTGCCGGTATATTGTCATCATTGTCATATGTGGAATAAAGTTTGCAAAGAAAGAAATTTCAATACAGAGCGAAAAAAATCAATAACGTATGAGCGTAGCGATTTAATAGCCGATTCGGAAGTTCAATAAGATTACGACTAAGATTTTTCTAGTCATACAAAGTTATTAAAATAATGACCACGCTAGAAGTGGAGAAAGTCAGGCAAGGTGAAGAACCTAAAAAGACCACTACCATCGCCGAATATATGAAAAAATGACAGTCACCGCTACGCTAGCAAACACTATAACATCTAATATAAATCTAAATAAGTGAATTTGTGAATTATTTTAAATATAATAAATAAATCGAACTAAATTGAATTAAAAACTAGAACTAGATGAACGATTTATAAAACGTACATATGTACATATTCGAGTATATATATTTATATTAAATAATTATATATTATTGTATATAGATCGGTGAATTATTTATATATAAATGGGCGTTTTTAAACGCTGACGCGGCCA